CCCCCCTTAAAAAGAAAACAAAAACGCTCATATCTTGGGAAATGTTTTTAAAACCAAAATAGATTTCTCATTTAAATGTAGTATGGTATCTTGTCTTGCATTACTGTGTTATTGAGTTTTAAATATTAAAAGATATCGTCTCTTTTGGATAATAACCAACTTTGCACACTTCTGTGCTCAGATTACTTTGGTATGTGTCCAGTCTCTTCTTTTCTCACGTTTTTTTCTTTTGTCTTTCTACTGAAGCTAATACTCCCAAGTTTAAATCCACTCCTCCCCTCTCCCTTCTTTGTCTTGAGTATGATGTTCAACTCGTTCAAAATATCCGAAGTACACGTTGATTATTTTTAATTCCCCCTGAAGAACCCAACTTACAGTGAATATTGTTTGCATTTTGCATGATATTCTGAATCCTTTCGTCTCACAGCGGAACAGATGTCGATTTCAAGGTGCATGTGAAAAATTCTCTTCTGAATAGAGATCCTGAGTAAGAGAGGTTTTATATCCCTTTTACAAAACACAAGAGGGCCTTTCTTGAAAGTACACAAATATAGGCTTGGTACGAGGTTATTAACGACAGTTAGGAGCATAATAATATTATTTGGAAATTCAAAACGTTTTCATTTTGCTCCAAATTCTGATTGTTTTAGATCATCAATTTCTATTCTGCTGTCATGAAAAATGTTTTCCTTTTTGAGTTTGTAGTCTATTTTGATTACATTTCTCGTCATAATCCACTTGTGTCTGATATTAGTAGAGCATTTGATAAGGACAGAAAGAAAAGTAATCTAATTCTCTCTGACTTGAAGGAATGAGTGAACATTTAAATATACTTAAAATGTATTGACCTAAATATTGGTTCAGCAAAGGGGCTACTCCATACACTTTGAAAAAACAAAAGTCAAAACTGCAAACGAGGTTGCATAATAAAATGGAGTGTTGTTATAATTAACGGCATAACATTTCCCAAAGATTGGAATTTAGTCTGGAGAGGTCATTATTATTTATGTTTTATATTCATACACCCTGTAGGCCTACTCTGGAGCATTTTCCTTCCATTATGCCATTGTAACTATTCGTATATTTTTAACTGCCCTTACTTGTACAATTTAAGGAACTCTATATATAGAATGCAATGTAAATACTGCATTTTACATAATCATCGATACGGAGAACTGTTTGTTGGTTTCTGTGCCGTTGAAGGATAGTCCAAAGAAATATTTACATCATGTCGATTTGTGTCTTCTTTTTATGTGAGGCCAGTGAGGATATAACGCTTTCAGTTTTTCTTGTTGCAACGACTTATATATTTACATAAATGACACAAAGAAACATAGTTTATATTCTGCAAATACTTATAATATCTGTTGAAAAGAAAAATGTGTTGTTGGGGGGGTTTTTTAAGATATGTTGTTTTACCCACATGTAAAGTACTTTTACCGCATGAAGTCGAACTATTGTTTTAACAAAGGTGTTGTTGTGTACACTCTCTCTTTTTTATGTGTTCTTGGTTGCTGAGTGCTGAAAATTTCTTAATTTTTTAACAATGGTGATACAGATGATAATTTTTACCTCGAAATAATCTGTAATTGTTAAGATAAGAGTGACAATTTTAATGTTAACTGTAGTTATTCAAGGTAGTAAACTGTTAAATGACGCAATTGAAACAGTTCATTCATGTATGCCCCTTCATTTTATGTTAAAGGAAGGCTTTACGTAGCCGGTTATTCAGGCTACCCTTTTATAAAGACTTTTCCTTAAATATTACCTTTAATAAATAATATGGGCTTTGTAATACATTACATGCACAATTTTTGCAATAGTGAGACGCATTTGCTTATATATTTCACAGTCAGGTGTGCTTACTCCATTTGAACAGGCTTATACATCCCCACACAAATGCACTTTGAGTTTGAAAAAATTGTGGGCTGGCCTGTTGAGTTTGACTTTTTAGAATAGAAAACATTTTTTCCTTGTAGTGTTTAAATATGTTTCCTATAGAGTATTTTTATTTCAAGTTACTTTCTTATAGCATGCCATATGTAAAGGTGAATAAAGAAAGAATCGAACTTGATTTCTAGGAAAATTACAGTTATACAGCTTTTGAAATGAAAATAATAAATTACCAATTCAATATGAAATAAAAGCGAGTTGTGCATTGCATTTGCCTAATGATTATAAAAAATTATCAGGAACAAGACAATGATCAAACAGATCTACCATGATATTATCATGCTGAACAAATTTACCGAACTAACAATATTCCCTTTTTCAGTTTCTACTCCAGCACCAACAACTCGTGCACCAACTCCCCCTCCAACACCTGCGAAAATCAGTAAGTAAAAATTCTAAGTATTCCTCCCTGATTTTTGCTTTAAAATAAATTAACATGAGGCTATGGTTCTTAACTAATACTGGTAAACCTTTTTGCATGAATAAATGTCTGTTCTTCTTAAGATATAACTATGAGATCATTATTGATTACTTAATTTTAGGAACATCTCATTAAAAGTAATTTCTGTTTGAAATGTAGCTTAACTGGTGTCATAAAATGTTTTAGATTATTATATTAAAAGCAAATACTCTTCATTTAAGGAGAATTGGATAATTGTATGCAATTTGCGTTTTGCCAAATTATGAAAAATTCAGATATCAAAAATCCAAACGTTTATATACTCATTAACATTTTTAACTTCACACATTTTAAAAGCGTGTAGCTCAAAAACTTCAAATTACTTTGAAATGTTTACATGTTACGTAAGCTCATTGTCGCTTGTGAACTGAACTCACTAGGGTGCACTGGTCTATCATGATGTTTGTCTGACGATGTCATTTACGTGGTTTTAATACTTTGTCAAATACTGCGAAAATGTGCGGGTAACCTTGAAAACAAAAACTAATCACGCAAAGTTGGACTCCTTCCAAGTTTTTCGCCACTTAAAAAGGTGTTCTCTTTTTCGATTCACCATGCTTCGGCTGAATGAATCAGAAAGAAATCACATCATTGAAATGCTTCTGGTGGCCACTCCGCTTCCGTCAGTCGTGAGAAGGTTCAACGTGAACAGACACACTGTGTATGCCACACTACACGGGATCACATGGCAACAACAGGCTCTCAAAAGGACAGTCCCAAGCGAGTAGAACACAGAAAAATAAAACGGAGGGTGGACTCATTCATCCTAACGCAAAGCTTGAGAAATCAATTTAAACCAGCAAACAAAGACCCAGGATGAGTCGAAAGGGCTTAGAAATGGCAGTCCATTCTTTGTCATGACTTTTTCTTCGTTTGAAACATAGGAACCTTCGTGCTAAATGGCCTAGTTTGCCGCATGAAACTGAAGCCCCATCACATCCAGCACAGACTTCACTGGACACAGCGTTGTGTGTGATTGTCAAGGGTAAATCACTCAAATTCTCGAACCCAATGTACTTTCCTTTCAAAATCTAACCGATGGACAAGCATTCATGCAGGATAATGCACCTGCTCATAAGACTGCTGAGCAAATCAATTTCTCAATACTAACAACAATCCTCTCCTGCACCCATGACCAGCGCATTCACCAAATTCCAATCCAAGTGAGCAGTTGCGGGACATTTTAGATCGCGACATTCATGCAACACCACTTAGATTAAGCCTTAATTGAAGAGTGGAATATTGTCTCTCAAAAGACTATACCTCAATTCAATCCGTCCACTAGCCGATGATGTGAAGATTTGACAACGCCAGATGTCATCACATGTTGTTGAAAGTTGTCACTTTTCATTGACAGCTATAAGTTCAACAATGAAGATTAATAACATTCTCAACTTTGCACCCACGTGTTTCCCTTGCTGTAAAATCAATGCACTGTATTATCTTAAATTTTCAGACAGATTCGTTAAGTAGTAATCAAGATATTGCCTTTCATATGAGGTGTAAAGTTAAAAATGTTGAAGAGTAAAGTTGTCAACTGATTTATAACAGATCTCGAAAAACTACGGCAGATTACTCAGCTGTTTTATGAACTTTTCTCCGGACGCAGACTCTGACATATTTTACAAATCCTCATAAAAGGTAATAGAGAAAATTATATTCTCATTGCCAGACTGTTATTAGTTGCACTTTATGCGAGCTTGTGAACATAGAAGATCCAAGACTCATGGCTTGACCTGCTGATTTAAAGTGGATTCGTTTGCAAACGGCAAGGCCATGTTACACCTAAATACAAGTGCATAAAAAATATCACACACCTGGCAAAACTGATAGAATAAAATGATAAATAAATTATGTTCCTAATTTTTTTTTTGGGTTCCGGGTACTCTTAAAATATGCTGGTTTGCATTAGTTGTATGATTAAGCCTCTCGGTTTGCGTCCAACTTGTGTCATGGTTTATTTGACGCTTACTTCCAGTTTACTGGCTGAATAATTGTACTGCGAATTTTTTCTTGTTTGCAGGCTGCGCTGGAGCCAAGATTGACTTGGTGTTTGTCTTGGACGCTTCCACCAGTGTGACTGAGCCCAACTTTGAACTGATGAAAGATTTTGTAAAAGATTTCCTTTATGAAGCTGACATTGATGGCGGTAATGCTAGAGTGGGTGTGATCATTTACAGTACAGCAGATCATGTTGAGTTCCAAATGAACACCTACAATACTAAGGCTGATGTTTACAATGCCATTGATGATATCCCATACCGATATGGCAGCACCAACACTGCAGATGCCCTCAAAACCATGAGAGCTGAAA